TTTTCCAGGCTGAAGAGTCCCACAGCTCTCAGCCTCTCATCATAAGGTCTGTTTTCCTGACCTCTGATCATGCACATGGCTCTCCTCTGCACTCTCTCAAGCTTCTCCACATCCTTTTTGAATTGTGGAGCCCAAAACTGGATGCAGTACTCCAGCTGTGGCCTCACCAAGGCCGAATGCAACAGAAGAATGACATCCTGGGATTTGCTTGAGAAGCATCTATGGATGCAAGCCAGTGTTTTGCTTGCTTTACTAGCCACAGCATCACACTGAGGGCTCATGTTCATCTTGTGGTCAATCGTGACCCCCAAGTCCCTTTTATCTGTAGTGCTAGCCAGTGTAGCACTGCCAACCCCGTAAGCATGCTGCAGGTTTTTCTTCCCAAGGTGGAGAACCTTGAATTTTCAGTGTTAAACACCATGAGGTTCTCGTCTGCCCATATCCTAAGCCTGTCAAGGTCAGCCTGCATCGCCCTCCTGTCCTCACGTGTGGATGCTTTACCTCAAAGTTTTTTTCCATACCCCTATTATTTTTCCATAGTCAAGAAAAGAGTGAAAGCTCAGAGCTGGCATTTTTCAAGGGATACCTTGGGTCTAACAAGGTTGATAAATATGTATGTATGTAAATCAGTTTTTAAGTAGAGATGCTACGGTGGCACGTTGTACTGCTAAGAACCCCTCACCCCTCATAAGAGTAATAAATAGGGGTTCTGGATTTTGTTAAATGAGGCAATTCCACTGAGCCAAAACTATAACAAGAGGGTCTCAAGGATCAAAGAAGTTATATTAGGTTAGGGATCCTGGACTATCTGTGCTCAGCCCTTGGCTAGTTCCAAACCTAGATAGATGTATGGGGGTTAAACTGTGTTTCTGAACCACCAGGGATAGAAAGCAAGTACTGTAAAATCACTAGCAGCTGCCACAGACAGAAGTGTACAGGCAGAAATAAAAATGGAAATGGTTCAAATACAGAAGTGTGCAGGCCCTTTGAAAAATTCCAAATGTCACTGAAGTACTCTAAAATAGTACTTTATTTTGTTTTAATCATATTACTATCCTAAAATATTTTACTTTTTACATGTGAATGAGGGACAGGGTTCCCAAAAGTGCTCTCTTTCCCCCAATCCCAAGGGAAGGGAGGCAGAAGCAGGGTAGGCAGCTCAGCAGGTGCTGTTAGGTTTTCAAACCATTGCCACTGCCAGGTTCTCCAACCCCATTCACCTCTAACTCCTTGTTCCTCTGAGAGGGGGAGAGGAGAGGTTTGGGTGGAATTAGGACTAGAGTATCGGAATCCAGAAGGGGATAAGCCACAGGTACTTGCAACCTTCTGTCATGCTCCTGGCTGGAAGGCAGAGGCTTGAAGCATTCCAGCCACCAGGGACAACAGCGGCTATATGCATCTCTTGCAACTGAAATGATTTACTTTTGAAATGTTTCCAAACCTATTACACTTGGAAATGTTTCACCACTTATTTCAGTAAGCACTCATGGGTTTATAAAGCTAGTGGAGATGGCAATTTTAGCCCCTACCCTCCTCTCCCTAGCAGATGAAAACATTTTGGGAAGCAACTCCTTCAACCTTGCAGTCGCATATAATTTCCCTGCATAGACACAGAAGCTTATACTCTTCATGTAGTCCTCGTATGTATGCAAATAACTCTTGTACAAATTTAACACTTTGGCCTCACCCAAATGCATTTTTTCCTTTCCTTTGCAAATTAGTTTTAAGCATCTTAACATAACATTAACGTAAGTGAATGGGAAATGACACTGACATGCCAGCAAAAACCCTCAAGGTAGATGCAGTCACACCAAAAAACAGTGACAAATGCAGTCAAGAGATGTAGCCAAATAAAAAGTGGCAAAACAAGGCAAGGAAGACAAAAACTTCTACTTCTGACTTAAAGATCACTGAAGGCAAAATTCACAAGAACCCAGAAAACCTTCTCTAAACTTATGGCCTCCAAAAGCAGTCACATAAATATTTATAATAAAAACTGCATTGTCAACAGAGCTCTTTGTCAGATACCTCCTCAAGCCTGACAAATCATCTCAGCTGCCACTTCCACAGCCATGTCTAAAGAACCTAAAATCCCAGCAGCATAAGCACATTTCAGCTCAGTGCTCCGATTCTCCAGGTTCATAAAGCAGGTTTCCCCTTGTCACAGGGCGGGGCGCAGGGGCAGCCGTGATCCCCCTGGCACCCCTACCATGCCAAGTCTGGGCCCTAAACGCACCCTCCGTCTCACCCGCCATGCCTTTGATTTTACGATTATAAGTAGGAGGCTGCCTTCCAACCCCCTTGTGCACGATGCTATCTTGGTACTGGCCCATGTTCACCAGTGAGTGATATGGTGCACCCCAGCCTTATGGGCTACGCATGCCTCCTGCCTCCCCTGTAGCACACCCCAAGCCTCGTGGTTGTCCTGGATGTTCTTGTGTCAGTGTGGTGGCCCCCTCCCGGGCCCTTCAATACACACACCCCCTCTGGGCTCTGTCCTGCGCTCCCTGCCTCGCCCTTCCTTGGGGTTTCTGCTCAGGTAATCACCCTCTCCGGGCTTTAAATTGCACGCCCACCCTGCCTCGGGCCTCTACTGGCGCGCTCGCCCTACTCTGGGCTCTTACACTGGCCCTTTCCTGGGGCTTCTGCTCGTGCAATCACCTTCTTCAGGCTCTGAACTGCGCACTTGCCCTACTCTGGGCTCTTACACTGGCCCTCTGCCCTTTACGGGGCTTCCCCCTAGGTTCTTGGCTCGCCCGCTCTGGGGGCTCGTCTCGCGCTCCTCGCCCGCTCTGGGGCTCAGGTGGCCCACTGCTGTGCTTGGCCCCCTGACCCTTCTCGGGGTCCTACGCCCTACTGGGCAAGTACCGCCCTCACAGGCTGGGGCTTAATACCCCACACACACCACGCCACACTGGCGCCAAACAGCTGCGCCTCCCAGGCACTGCTTGCTGTGCCCGAACAGGGCACCCAGGAACCCCCCACTCCACTGGGGAGCTCCTAATGAGGCCTCCTCACACCCCTACAGCCTCACCCAGTCCTCCGGTGTAACATCAAACCCAACCATAAACATAAAGCCCTGAGCCCACCGGCTGCGACTCAAAATCAGCCTACCGACTATAACACAGAATCTAGGCCCACCTGGCTCTCCTGTAAAGTCTCTCAATCAGGGTTCTCTCTCCCCTTGCCATATTGCAGCCCTTTGAGTGGTCAGGC